TGATGAAAGAGCAACAAGTAATAATGAAGGAAAAACAAGAGATGATGAACCAACAAGCACTTTTTAGAATTCAACAAGCTTCAATCCTCAACATAGAACAACAACTCGGGCAACTAGCTAAGCAATTCAATGAAAGGGCTATGGGAGGACTTCCAAGGAACACTAAACAAAACCCAAGAGGAGCTCACATCCAAGACATTACCACTAGAAGTAGGAAAATTATCACCCATTTAACGCCCATAGACAGAAACAACTCGGATGAGGAGAAGGAAGGTCAAGAAGAAAGTCAAGGACAAGGATATGAGAACAATCACCACGACATGGTACAAATGCCACGACGTGGCCAGAAGCCGAAAAGAAATTTGATGAACCCATAAAGCCTTACCACCCACCATTTCCATTACTAAGTATAGCAATTCAAGAGAAGCATGCTGAAGATTATCGTAGGTTCTTAGACCACATAATGTCTCTGGAAATAAATATTCCATTCCTTGAGGCCTTAGTCAAAATGCCAAAATATGCCAAGTTCCTCAAGGACATTTTAACAAACTGAAAGAAAATGGAGGGACTATCGAAGGTGGTATTAAGTGAAACTTGTTCCGCTGCAATGCTAAACATGTTACCGAAAAAGATGGGTGATCTAGGAAGCATCACCTTACCATGCCAATTCGAGAATATACCCACTAGTCATGCTCTAGCCGATTCAGGAGTTAGTGTTTAGTTTGATGCCCTATTCGTTTTTCAAGAAGCTTGATCTCCCTGAACCAAGACCGGTCCGCATGGTCATACATTAGCCAACAAGACCATGACCTTCCCAATGAGTATATGTGAAGACTTGCTCGTAAAAGTAGACAAGTTTGTTTTTCCTGCAGATTTCATTGTATCAGATATGGAGGAAGACAAACATGTCCCAATCATCCTTGGAAGTCCCTTTTTGAGCACCACCTGAGACTTAGTTGATATTTGAGAGTCCAAACTCACTCTCTGGGTAGGAGAAGAAGCTAGCACTTTTAGGGTTAATCGGGCAATTCAACATTCTAGAACAAGTGATGATACGACCTTTTCTATCGATGTGATTAATGAACTATTTAAAAAGGAACTATGAAGGTGGAAGGAAAATGAAACCAAGGGATTTATGGTGTTTGAAGAAGGTGATTTTGATGCCGAACTAGATTTGCAAGAACTGGAGAAGCTATCGGAAGAAAGTGAATATAATGAAGTAATAAAAGAGATATAAGAAGCAACAAGGCGTGGTGAGAGCAACACGTCGTGGTCAACAATTTTTCCAAGATCTAAAATTAAAATTTGCGACACCATGACATGGCAAGAAGCCCACGTCGTGGTGACTGACGAAAAACCAAAAGTGGATCTTAAAGCCTTACCCGAGCACGTGGAGTACACATTCTTGGAAGAAAGGAAACAAAAACCAGTAATTATAGCATCCAATCTAGCTAAACATGAAAAAGAAAGTCTTGTGGAAGTACTATAGAAAATACAAGGTGTCATAGCAGGGAAGATAACCAACATAAAGGGGATTAGTCCAGCCTATTGTTCTCATAAGATCAACCTAGAAGAAGGAGATAAATCCATAGTTCAACGCCAAAGAAGACTCAACCCAAATATGCAAGAAGTGGTTAAACTTTTATATGCTGGTATGATTTACTCAATTTCCAATAGCCCATGGGTAATTCTGGCACACGTCGTACCAAATAAAGGAGGAATGACGGTGGTTACCAATGAAGATAACGAGTTAATTCCAACAAGAACAATAACCAAGTGGCGCTTTTGCATCGACTATCGAAAGCTTAATGATGCTACATGCAAGTATCACTTTTCGCTACCATTTATCGACCAAATACTCAAAAGACTATCCGATCATCTTTGCTATTGTTTTCTTGATGGTTTCTCGAGATACTTCCAAATTCTAATTGACCTACAAGACCAAAAAAGGCCACTTTTACTTTCTCAAGTGGGACATTTGCACATAGACGCATGTCTTTTGGGTTATGCAATGCACCGACTACATTCGAAAGGTACATGATGGCTATCTTCCATGACATGATCGAGAAATTTATGGAGGTTTTCATGGATGACTTCTCGGTTTTTGGGTCCTCTTTTGAAGATTGTTTATCCAACTTAGACCTAATGTTAGCAAGATGTGAGAAGAAAAACCTAGTCCTAAATTGGGAAAAGTGCCACTTCATGGTAAAGGAAGGGATTGTGTTAGGACACAAAATCTCAAGGTTGGGGATAGAGGTAGATAGAGAAAAAGTTTACAACATTGCTAAACTACCACCCCCAACAAATGTAAAAGGGGTTAGGAGATTTCTAGGCCATGCGGGATTTTATCGCCGTTTCATTAATGACTTTTCAAAGATCAAGAGGCCTTTGACTCAACTTCTTTTGAAGGATGCCCCATTTGACCTTTCTAAAGAATGTCATGAAGCATTTCAATTGTTAAAGGAAAAGTTGACCACTACCCCTATTATGATAACGCCAAATTGGAGCCTTCCTTTTGAGCTTATGTGTAATGCTAGTGAGTACGTTGTGGGAGCTGTTTTGGGCCAATGAATTGACAAACATTCTCAAACGATCTACTATGCTAGCAAAACCTTAAACCCAACTCAAGAAAACTAAACTATTACCATCAAGGAGCTACTCGTGGTGGTTTATAGTTTTGATAAATTCTGCCTATATCTTGTTTTGTCAAAGACAATTATATTTACTGATCATTTAGCTCTTAAGTATGTTTTTGCTAAACAAGATTCTAAACCAAGATTAATACGTTGGGTATTACCTTTACAAGAATTTGACATTGAGATTAGAGAAAAAAAGGGAATGGAAAATGTAGCAGCTGATCACTTATCGTGACTAGAGAACCCGCACTTGGAAGAATTAGAAGAAAACAAGATTGGAGATGATTTTAACGAAGAGTATCTTATGGTTATAGCAGGACAAATACCTTGGTATTCATATTTAGCCAACTACTTAGCAAGTGACTATGTTCTAAAAGATTTCACGAGACAACAAAGAATAAATTCTTTTCTGAAATCAAGTATTACTTTTGGGATGATCCATACCTCTTTCGAAGTTGTGCATATGGTATGATAAGATGATGTGTATTTGGGAAGGAGGGTCGAGAAATCTTGAAACACTACCATAGCGGGCCCACCGGAGGACATCATGGAGCACACTATACGACTAAAAAGATTTTTGATATGGGTTTTTATTGGCCTACAATATTTAAAGATGTTGCTCAATATGTCAAGGAGTGCGATTCATGCCAAAGGTCGGGAAATATTTCATCCCGAAACGAGATGCCCCAAAATAGCATTCATGTTTGTGAGATATTTGATATATAGGGGATTGACTTTATGGGACCATTCCCAATTTCCAAAGGAAATAAATATATATTGGTGGCGGTAGATTATGTAACTAAATGGGTGGAAGCACAAGCATTACCTCTAATGATGCTCTTGTAGTGGTGCGCTTCCTTAAGAAGTTGTTTTCAAGATTTGGTGTTCCTAAGGCGCTAATTAGTGATCAAGGAACCCACTTTGCGAATGATCAATTGGCTAAGGTGTTACAAAAATATGGTGTACACCATAGATTTTCAACATCATACCATCCACAAACAAGTGGGCAAACCAAAGTTACAAACCGGGAATTAAAACAAATATTGGAGCGATCAGTTGGAAGTAATAGAAAAGAGTGGTCGAACAAGCTTGATGACACACTTTGGGCATTTTGAACTGCTTTTAAAACACCTATTGGTACTACACCATATAGGTTGGTTTATGGAAAGAATTGCCACTTTCCGGTTGAAATCGAGCATAAAGCATTTTGGGCTTTGAAGCTATGTAATTTTGAACTCACCAAACTTCGTACCAACCGATTGATGCAAATGAATACAATTGAAAAACTTAGAAATGAAGCATACACTAGCTCCTTAATATATAAAGACAAGACTAAGAAATGGGATGATATGAGATTAAAATTCCATAAGGATTTTCATGAAGGACAAAAGGTGCTACTATTCAATTCAAGGTTAAAACTTTTCCCGGGCAAATTACAAACTAGGTGGGACGGGCCGTTTGTTGTTAAACAAGTTTTCCCACATGGAGCTATTGAGCTTATATCGAGAGACGAAGCCCCTTTCAAAGTTAACGGGCATAGAGTGAAACATTATGAATAAGGAATGCCAATTGAAGAAAAAGAAGGGGAAATCGTCAAATTCACATGAGTCGATACAACTTGCAGCGGGAAGGAGTCCGACTTATGACTCCCCAAAAAGAAGCGCTTGCAGGAGGCAACCTGTGGTTTTGAGTTTGGATTTTTCTTTCCTTTTCTTTTAGTTCATTTTTTTTACTTAATGCTTTATACTCTCATTCTTATAAATTTCTATGGAATTCAACTTGGGGAATGGAATAAAATGAGTTTGGGGTGGATGATTTTTATAAGATTTTGACCAATTTGGAAGTTTTTCTAAAAAACATCACCACAAGGTGGTGAATTTACAGAACCCGATAAACGTTTTCTCTAGGCGATACCATGACATGGTGACTTCTCCACGATGTGGTTTCGGTTTAACTGTAGTCAAATTAGGGTTTTTTAAACCCCAGTCAAAACATAAGTTCACTTTTACTCCACCTCTCTCTCGACGTGTTCCCTTTCCCCATGAAGAACGTCCCTTTCTTTGACTCGATTTCATGCATTTTTCCACTAAAAGGTATGATTTTTGTGTGATTTCCTTACTCTTAATCACTTCTTATGCTAGTATAGGGTATACATTTGATATTAGCACACTTTTAGGCCCAAAATTAAGAACCTAGGGTTTCAGTTTTTGCAAAAATTGGACCCTATTAATGATGTTTTTCATTTGATTTTGTGGATCATGGTCCGATTAAACCATAGAACTTGACAATATGTTGACCACAACGACTCATCCTGGTGAAGTTTTTTTAACACAATCCTGTGTTGTTTTGATTTCTTGCATACACATGGTTTCCTCTAGTGTTCTCTTTGTTTATTTTGTAGAAATGGCTAGCCGTGCACGACGCCAACAACCCAGGAGTCGCCTCGATTTTATGTGGTATTCTTTTCCTAGGAATGTTGGGCCTGAGATTTACGCACGATGGAATGCCAAACTTGATTGGATGAAGCAGCGAAAAGTCCATGTTCTTGCAGTTGTTGATTGGCACTGGATGGGACAAACCGGGTTAACGGAGGGAATTGAGCCATACGTGGAGAAAGCATTCAATACCTTTCATGGGAAGTTTGTTTGTATGGAGTGGAGACAACTATTTGAAATTTAGGAAGTCATGTATATGGAGTTAGTCATTGAGTTTCTGGCCATGGGTTCGTTTGCATGGAAGGATGGAATATTTGTTGAAGACAACCTTTCTTTTTGCCTTGGTGGAGAAAGGCATACCTTAAGCCTTGATGATTTTATGCTAAAGACACAGATTTATCTTCCATCTGAGGTCCGTTCCGAATCATATCAACAATATATTGCTGGACATGTTCGGATTACCGAGGGGTTCATAGAGGAAGCACATTGGAATGAAATAGCAAATGGTGCTTATGATAAGGGGACTACACAAGAAAGTGACATTTGCTCTCCTCTTCATCGTCTTTTGCATCGGCATATCACAAACACCATTAATCAGAAACAGGAGGGGGACAAGTGTCCGATGATAGACATGTTTTTCTTATGGGCCCTTATCACCCCCGATGTTTATATAAGCTTACCATTCCTGTTGGTAGATTTTCTTGTGGCTCGATCAGGAAAGGATAAGCGAGGTTCTCCTCTTTACGGGGGTATGTTGATCACACGGCTTGCATGTTCTTTTGGAGTCCTTGGTAAGCGTGATGTCGTGATTTTGACAGTGGAGTACCAGAACCATTTCTCTACACTACTTTATAAGAGGGCAACAATCTTTGTTCATGGGATGGGTGGTTTTTCTATTCCTGACGATACTCCACGAGGCCGAGTCCCGAGGCGGGTAAGACAAAGAAGGGATCCTGAAGAAGATGAACCTCTAGTTGTACCAACCGATGACGAGCTGCCCATGGATCCCTATACCATTGCGTTGAGGAAGTTTTATGATAACTTGGAAAGGAGTGCCAACTACACCAACATGAGCCTAGACCACCTTATGGAGCAAATGCATGTAACCCGACCCACTCATTTTCCTTATGTTTACCCATACGCACCGAGTTCGGGTGGAGAGAGCAACAAGGTGGAGCAGGCGGTAGTAGAGGAGGTGATGATGGGGACGACCAAGAATGAGAGTTCTATCCTTTTATTTTACTGGATTGAAGTCCACAACCAGGCAAGGAACATGAAATAAGGCCAAATCTGTAACAACGCGAATTTTCAAAAAAAAATTCATTTTTCATATAACATAGAAATCATTCAATATTCAAAATTCTCAAGTTTAACAACTATCATCACTATAAAAACATATCCAAAGAACATAAAACAAATCTCATGCCAGTGTGTACGGGTCATGCTGGCGCCTTCCCACGGTCATCGCTAGGACCTGAAACACATAACACATAACACTGCAAGCATAAATGCTTAGTGAGTTCCCCGAAATACCACATACAACACATACGCCACTCATGGCCATAACTATATGGGATCTTCCGATCCATGTGTCTCAGGGGACTTCTGTCCCAACTCTGGTAGACCTTCCGGCCCCAACCGTATGACCTTCCGATCCATATCATGGTACTCATAACATAATATAGCACCTACATATCACATAGCAACACATATCACATACTTTGCAGAACATATAAGACCTTCCGGTCACACATAATTACCACTCTAGGTAAAGTATAGTGAGAAGAATGACCTCATATGTTGTCTAGTAACTCACGTACTCAGTATCCGTGAACCTCGTAACAATGACCTAGCCCCGCCTAAACACATAACCAATCATCTCAAATCAATAATGACTCTCTAGGCTAGACTAGTTTGTTCGAATGTTCTCTCAGAAGGCTAAAAAACCATGTTAACCTTCTAATGGTCAAAAAGTCCAAATGTTGACCCAACCATAAAATTCAACGGTTAAACTTTGACCAGACTCGTCGAGTGCACATAGGTGACTCGGCGAGTCCAAGTGTGTACTCTGGATCCTTCTAAACCTCACTCGACTCGTCGAGTAAACCTTCCACTTGATGGCTACATCCGGACATGAGTCGCGGGGTACGACTCAACTCGTCGAGTTTCTTCCATGACAACACCAAATCATCCTTCTTAGGTCAGATCTGCTTCTCTAACCTATAAATCTGACCTTTTCATACCCACTAATCACATAAAGGTGAAACCTTTACACTCATGCAACATATATATGGTTCCTTTTGGAGAAATAGCCTTAAAAATGGAAACCGAAGTTCATTGCTTCCATATCACTTCATAAAGCAAGATGGATAAGGCTCTTTGGACCTCTATTGGTCCAGATCCAGAGTCTAATACATAAAGGGACCATAAACTCATCAATCCAAGCCATAAAAAGGGTATAGAAAACCCTAGATTCATAGATCTCAACCAAAACAGAAGGAGAGTTCGATTTGCTACCTTAGTAGTGAAGATCTAAGCTTGAAAACCCTGAATCAGCCACTTCCTTGACCTCCTCTTGCTGGAAACAACCTCTTCTTTGCAAAACCACACCAAAAATGATCAAAAATAGCTCTATTTCTCTCTCAACTCGCTCAAGCTCTCAAGGGTCTCTCTCTCTGGACTGGTAGCCGCAAATGAGGGCTATAAGGTCCCTTAAATAGGGCACAACCCTGTAAATTTAGGGTTTCTAACATCAACGCAGACTCATCGAGTCCACCCATTGACTCGCCGAGTCCGTTCGTTAATCCAGTCAGCAATCACAATCCTACTCGGCGAGTATAAGCATCAACTCGCCAAGTCCCTCCTCAAAACTTCAAATTAAACAATGAAAATATGATACCTGGAAATCCGAATGTTACAATTCTCCCCCACTAGAATCAGACTTCACCCTCGAAGTCTCATTCTGCAAACAACTCCGGGTGCTGCTTCCGCATCTCTGCCTCCGGCTCCCAATTCAGCTCAGACCCTTTCCGATGTTGTCACTGGACCTGAACTAGGGGAACCTCTTTGTTCCTCAAAACCTTGATCTTCCGATCCACCACCGCAATTGGCCTCTCAACATAGTTCAGGCTCGCATCCACCTGAATATCCTCCAATGGTACCATTGCCGATTTGTCGGCTATACACTTCCTCAATTGAGACACATTGAAAGTATCATGTATATGGCCCAACTCTGCAGGTAGCTCTAAAAGATACACTACCCTGCCTACCCTCGCAGTCACCCTGAAAGGACCAATGTACGAGGGCCCAAGCTTGCCCCTCTTCCTGAATCGGATTACTCCTTTCCAAGGAGACACCTTCAGGAGTACGAAGTCTCCAACCTGAAACTCAATCTCGGATCGTCGTCTATCCGTATAACTCTTTTAGCGACTCTGGGCTGTAAGCAATCTCTACCTGACCTGCTGTATCTGCTCAGTCGTCTAAAGCACTATCTCAGTGCTACCCAACACGTGCTGCCCTACCTCTCCCTAGAAATTAGGAGTCCGACATCTCCTCCCATATAACAACTCGAAGGGAGGCATACAATTACTCGAATGATGGCTATTGTTATAGGAAAACTTAGCCAACGGCAAGTACGTGTCCCAACTTCCTCCGAAGTCCAATACACATGCTCGAAGCATGTCCTCGAGTGTCTAAATCGTCCACTCACTGTGCCCGTCTGTCTGTGCGTGGTATGCGGTACTGAAATGCAATCTCGTACCCAACTCCTCATGGAACTCCTTCCAGAACCTGGAAGTGAAACATACATTTAGATATGACACAATCGAGATCAGTACGCCATTCTGTGATTCCACCTCTCTAACATACATCTCTGCCAACCTCTCTGCGGAAGACCTCTCACTGAAAGCAAGGAAGTGAGCGCTCTTCGTCATCCGATCAACGATGACACAAATTGCGTCAACACCCCTTGCAGTCCTCGACAATTTGGTGATGAAATCCATAGAAATCTATTCCCACTTCCATTGGGAAACCTCAAGTAGCTGCAACTTTCCATGTGGATGCTGGTTCTCAACCTTAACCTTGCGACAGGTCAAGCACCTCTTAACAAACCACGCCACATCCCTCTTCATGCAGGGCCACCAATACTCTCTCTTTAGATCCAAATACATCTTAGTGGCCCCAGGATAGATTGAAAACCTCGATCTGTACGCCTCCTCCATCAGAATGGTACGCGCCCCACCCGCAAACGGCACCCAAATCTGACCCTGAAAAGTTATAAGCCCTAGGCCATCGGTAAAAAACTCAGATACCTGACCAATTACCAGCTCCTTCTTGCGGTTATCCGGTCTCATAGCCTCTGCCTGGGCCTCTCGAGCAGTGTCCAATATCGGATTCATCACCGTCAACCGCATACAGATGCCTCGAATCGGGGCACTCTCTGCCCTACAGCTCAGAGCATCAGCTACAACATTAGCCTTGCTTGGGTGGTACAGGATCTCACAATCGTAATCCTTTACCACATCCAACCATCTCCTCTGGTGCATATTCAGGTTGGGCTGATCCATCAAATACTTCAAACTCTTGTGGTTCGTGTATATGGTACACTGAACTCCATACAGATAGTGACGCTAGATTTTGAGGGCGAACACCACTGTCCCCAACTCCAAATCGTGGGTGGGATATCTCACCTTGTGAGGCTTCAACTGCCTTGATGTGTACGCTATCACATGCCCTCTTTGCATAAGCACCGCCCCCAACCCTGATATCGATGCGTCACAATATACCTCAAAATCCCTAATATTGGGGCTTTGCATAATTTCTGACGAAGTGTCTCAAATGAGGCCTTCTGCTCTGGACCCCAACTAAAAGTCACGCCCTTCCGAGTCAACCTGGTGAGAGGAACGAAAATCTTGGAGAAATCCCTGATAAATCTCCGATAGTAGTCGGCCAACCCCAGGAAACTTCTGATCTCGGTCGGGGATTTCGGCACTTCCCATATCATAACCGCGTCAATCTTGGCCGGATCGACAAATATCTCGTTCTGGTTAACGAGGTGTCCCAAGAACTGGACCTCTCATAACCAGAAATCACACTTGGAGATTTTGGCAAAAAGCCTCTCCGACCTCAATACTCTGAGAATCTCTCTCAGATGCTCCTCATGCTACTCTCTAGACCTTGAATATACCAAAATGTCATCGATGAACATGATCACCGAATGATCCAACATCGGTCTGCACACTCGGTTCATGAGATCCATGAATTTTGCCGTTGCGTTGGTGAGCCCAAAAAGGCATCACCAAGAACTTGTAATGCCCATAACGAGTCTTGAATGCTGTCTTTTGGATATTCTCATCCCGCACTCTCATCTGAAGATATCGAGACCTCAAATCTATCTTGGAGAACCAAGACGCTCCCTGAAACTAATCAAACAGATCATCGATCCTTGGTAATGGATAAAGGTTCTTGACCGTAAACTTGTTCAACTCCTGGTAATCAATGCACATCTGGTGTGAACCATCCTTTTTCTTGACAAAAAGGATCGGTGCTCCCCTAGGTGAGCTACTCGGTCTGATAAATCCTTTTCTCAACAGCTCCTGAAGCTGTGAAGATAACTTCTGCATCTTTGGTGGAACAAGGTGATAAGGCGCCTTGGCGATAGGCGCTGCCCCTAGAACTAAATCAACGCGGAACTCCACCTGCCTCTCGGGAGGCACACCCGGCAACTCCTCGGGGAAAACATATGGGAATTCATGCACTATCAGAACATCATCAATCGAACTCGGCCTCTCCACGGCCACTCGTGTATCCATCACATAAGCTACAAACCCACTACAACCCTGCTGTAAAATCTGTCTCGCTCTAGCAGTCGAACAAAATGCTGACCCACATCGGATAACTTTGTCATACACCGTCAGCACTCCCCCACTAGGGTCTCGTATCATTACTATCTACCGCTCGCAGTCTATAACCGCCCCAAATCGGCTCAACCAATCCATGCCCACTATAACGCAAACATCCCCCATCGCAATCGAGACCAGATCTATCGGAAACTCGATGCCGAAGATCTCAAGAATACATCCTCGAATCACATCAGTAGCATACAACGCTCGCTCGTCAACTATAGAAACTCATAGAGGCCGACTTAACGCCTCTCGTTGAATACTGATGTGCTGACTAAATTCTAAAGACACAAATGATCGACTCTCACTCGAGTCAAATAACACCAAAGCATGTACATAATTCACATGAAAAGTACCTACGCATATCATAAAATAAGCACAA